ATGCTTGCCAGTCACTTCTATGAGGAAGCCTTGAGAGGGGGTTATGAGACATGAACAGTAATATTCTAGGGTGATGGGGGAATTCCTATCTAATGAAAAGGAATTAACTTTAGGGACAACACTGAGCTCCTTTTTGTGAAACAATCACTAGGAGCCAGAAAGCTGGTGTGTGGGAAAGAGAAAGTAAATTTACTTCTGGTTCATGGATATGCTATGTTTGGCCCGTACAATATATTTTGTAATATATGATCTATCATGTTAGAATCAAGAAATGTTACATTAAAATATACACCATTGGTTTCTCGTGAAAGATGGAAGGTCCAGTTACACTGGCAACCCTAGTCTGACCTGCCTGGTGGCTACACATTTGCACAGGTCCTGTGATCTTCATTTTGTCACAGTTGCCACCACTTCCCATACACAGTGATGCCAAATAGTCCATAAATTTGAAGACCATTTTGAAACATGAAAAGCAAAAGAGATTTTAAACAAAATGAGCTCATTGTCAGTTTTCATGACACTAGCATTTTTTAAAAAAATACTCTTGTCTCTATCTAAAGTGGGAAAACAAAAGTAGAAACAAAACGATAACATTTTTTAAGAAAAATGAGAGTGAGTTCATTTCTTTGTGGAAATGAAGAATGGGCCCTTGTCATTAATATGCAAGCGATGCACATGGATGTCTCGCACACAGGGCCACTGCGGTGATTTATGTTACTTCCCTGGCCCCCGGGACCGTTTGAGTTTGGAATGGCTGGTGTAGGGAATGCTTTTTTCTATCTTATTTATTTAACTATTCTACATTAGGAGCACTTAGCTCATCAAAAATGTCTTAAAATTTCGCTAAGTGACAAAAGCATAAATCCCAAAAGCAATCTGTCACTTTTATTAGCCCAGAAAATACCAAACTGATTTCCTCATAAAGATCCTGCCATCAGTTAAATGGATAAACTATTAGGTTATGAATAAAAATAGCCCCACAATTATGAGTCTACTAATGTGCTGATTGTTTATAGACATAATAGGATTGATGGACCTCAGCCATGACAGCATAAACACCACGGGTACCAGAATGTGTATATCTACGACACCTCATTCATCCTATATCAACGATTTTCAAACTATGATTTGGGAGACTCAACAGCAGGTCATTGTATATGTCCACAGTACATGCAGGTGGGTAGGGGGGTAGATTGGATGACAGGGACAAAGTATATGATGGCAAAAGATGTGCACTGGACATCTCTGCAGGGTATGGTTGACGTAGAAGGGGAAAGATGTGAATGATCTCCCCTGGAATTGTGCAAACTTGGTCTTGGCTATGGTCAATCTTATACAGCTTAGGGCCCCTCACTTCTGCACCAGTCAGAAGATCTTTCCTTGTTAATCTGTTTTTAATTTTGAGCTTCAGATAAACTAATTCAAGGAAACATTTTATGGCAAAATATAAATTTGAAAACTGTACTACATGAGACTAAAAGAGTTATTTCTAAGATAAAGTGATTGTTTTCAGATCACTAAATAGCTTTGCTTTGAAGGTGCCACAGTTAACCAACAGGAAGAAAAGAAATTACCCTAATCTTCTCTGAAGATTTCTGTGACCATATATTCTTCCAAATATTTTTCAATTTTTAAAGTGTGTGTGTGTGTGTGTGTGTGTGTGTATATATGCATATATATATATATAAATTTTGTTGTTTTATAAGTTTATAACAGTAATCACACAATTGTGCATTTTGACTGTCATGTATTATGAGCATTTTCTGTGTTTTCACTAGTTGAAATCATGATTTTTAATGCCTATATAATACTAAATCATATTGTTGAAACACAATTTATTTAAACAAAGCTCTATTTGGCATGCATGTAGCTTTAGCATAATTTTTCCTTTTTCTTTCTTTTTACCAAAAAATAACTTATTGTGGTTAAGGTTTTGTTTATAGCCCTAATACCTTTTTTTAGTAGCTTCCTGGGATCATAATTATAAGAACAAAAGGCATTACTATCTTTAAGACTAGCTGATGGAGATAAATTAAAGCAGGATGGGGAAGTGAAGGGAACTTGCTATATATATATATATTAGAGGCTCAATGCACGAAATTCGTGCATGGGTAGGGTCCCTAGGCCTGGCCGGCTATCAGGGCCGATCTGTGGGGCGACTGGTGGGGTGATCAGGGGGCCCACGCTGATACCTGCCTTGGCCGGCCTGGCGCCACCCACTCGCTGGCTGGCCCTGCAGCCCCCCACTGCTGCCACGGGTCACCTCCCTCTGCGGGGTGACCGGCAGTGTGATGGGGGGCTCCCACTGGCACCGCCTGGTGCCTGCGGGCTGGGGACAGCTCCTGCATTGAGCGTCTGCCCCCTGGTGGTCAGTGAGCATTATAGCGGCCGGTCATTTCACCGTTCGGTCAATTTTCATATTAGGCTCTTATTATATAGGATATATGTGTGTGTGTGTGTGTGTGTGTGTGTGTGTGTGTGTGTGTGTGTTTTGTTAATCTTCACCTACCAGTATACACACACACACACAGACATATGCATATAGTGGTTTTTAAACTATTCAGATTTTCCTCAGATCATCACAGCATTAACCTCTTACTTATCCAATTTGTGGCAAATGTTTTCTTAGTTTGTTGGCCACTTCATTGTGTATATGATTTAAATTTTCAATTTGAAGCCAAACCTCTACCTGATGATTAAGGCTTTAATAGACTCTGGGCCAAGTTTTTGTTTTTTGTGTGTTTTATTTTCAATCACAGTTTACATTCAATTATCATTTTTTCTTCTTAGTTCCAGGTGTACAGCACAGTGGTAGACAATCATGTACAAGATCTGGTCAGGAAAGCTTTCTTCAATTTCCAGGTGCTGGGACTTCCTTTGGCTTTGTCTCCAGGGACACTGCCCAAAGGGTTTTTTCTGGCTAGTTAACTCACAAGGAATAATTTACTTATGGGCCAGGGCTGACTTTCCTGACTTCCTCACCAGCTGTTTGAGGGGAAGCGTGGAAAACGATGACTGAGGTGGAGGCACAAGGGAACAGCTTTCTAAGTGCTACAAATCTCAGGAGTAGGGAATTAATCAGAAAACCAGGCAATTTACGCTCTGAATTTCAGAGTCAGGAAGAGTGTGGGGTGGGACAAAGCTTCCAGACCTACTTTAGCAGGCAGATCTATTCTTTCAACACTCCAATCCTATTGGCTTTAAGTGTGTGTTTCATCCCAAATATTGGTGACAGTGTTACTCCCAGCTTTTATTTTCTTGGGGTGATGTGCATTTAAATGTTTATTTTCATCATACCCATAAAATATAACATTCATGAAAGAATAAACTATCTGGTTAGTGGGGAATGGAGGACATTTGTCACAGACTGGTGGCCAGATGTGACATAAACTTGGTTGCACTGTCCTGCTTCGCTCGCCAGAGCAGTGCTTCTGGGCTCTGGGTCATTAGCCAGTGCCACACCTCCAGGCTGGACCGTGGGGTGGGTAGTCAGCTTGCTTCTTTACTTCATGGCCCTGTATCACATTGGTTTTTCAGCTCATCTCCATGTTTTTAAGCAGTTCTCAGACCTCTTCTTTTGTCTATTTGCTATCATTTTCTTTTCTAATATTGACTTTTTCTAGGGAGGATTTGAGATGGTGATGATTTAGGTTACTCTAAACTCTCATTTACATGTTGGCACTTGAGATAAATATCATTAAAGGTTTTCTTCTGATAATCCCTTTTTATAGAGATTAGCATATCTTGATTACATCAAATTGTTATATAACAGATGCCACTTGTTTATTGGTAATAAATTAGAATTCTCAAGATTTAAACATGAAATGAGGCATCTTCTTCTAAAAGCAACTCTCAATGATCTGTGCTAATGGTGGGCAGAATGATGAAAAGTGCCCTGCTGCGTATGTTTCTGTGTGATGGCTCTGGTGTAGCCACTGCCCTTGCTTTCAGTGCTAAGTAATGACTGTGTGCAGCATATGCTGATAACTAGAGCTAAGCAGTTACTGCCAAGCAAGAGATGTGTACAGTGCTACCAAGATGGTGTGAACAGTGGAGAGGTTGTTCAGATGTGGAAGCACAGGACAAAATGAGGAAGGAGAGATGTTAGTTCAGGGGAGGACTGGCCTGCTCGGTGAAGTAGGGGAGGTATAGGTAGTGTACCCCAACTGGGGGGAGGATGATGATCTAGGGAGCAGACGGTTCCATCTGTGTCTTCTTCAGGTGTTCAAGGTAAGGAGAAGTTTGGACCAAGGATAGGATTAGGGTTGAATTGGAAGAAGAAAATAGGTCAGAAAAAGCAAGTCCGAGATGGGACTAGCCTACGCTCAGAGGATGTGGGAAGTGAGCTTCCCTAGAAGCAAGGATGGACCTTAAATGTGGTAGATGTCTAACCCCATCTAAATAGCCACTGAATCAATGACGGAATGGCATAATCACCAAAGAAACCTATACCCCAAACTAGGGAACACTGAAACTTGAATTTATGTGCTTATGATTGCCCAAATATATATGACAGTGGCCTTTACACATTTTCACCCCTTTATTAAAATTTGTTTAAATTGAAACGTACTGACTTGAAACTTGCCTGACAACATAATATTCTCTCAGCACAAAGTACATGTGCTGCTCTCTGAGCTCCATTATGCACCAGTATTGAAACATCATCATAGTCATCAGAATTCTAATAAAATGAAATATAATGAAATGACCTAATTGCAGTCACCTCTTTTCTCTCTTCCACTGCGTTTTTAGAAAATGGGTCAAAGTCAATAGGAGGCAGTCCTTTTCCTGCCTCCAGTTTATTAACTTCAGTATTCATTTCCTGAATATACCAAATTTCCTAATTAAAAGGGATGGCATATTGAATAAAGAGGGGGAAAAATCATTGCTATAGGTCTCTTTTCCGCACATCAAAATTGCTCACCTTCCAATTCAAAAAAAAAGTGTTTTGTGTTTTTTTTTAAAATGACTTGTAAAGTTAACATTCTTTCTTCTTATAGGTGGAATGGCTGAAAAATGAGGAGCCCATTGACTCAGAACAAGATGAGAACATTGACACCAGGGCTGACCATAACCTGATCATCAGGCAGGCGCGGCTCTCAGACTCCGGGAATTACACCTGCATGGCAGCCAACATCGTGGCCAAGAGGAGGAGCCTGTCCGCCACAGTGGTAGTTTATGGTAAGACCAGCCCAAAGGCCAGGAATGGAGTACAGAAAGCAGAGAGGTAGAGGGATGTGTGTTTTATTGCAATTTAACTTTCAGAGCTCAAAGGTCTTAGGGGGCCATCCACCACTGTGTTCTCTCCTGCCTCTCCCATTTGGCAAGTGGGAACACATTTCTATGGCTATTAATGTTTGCTGCTTCATCCAACATTGGACTTCCATGAGGTAGGCAGTGATATTTCCAATCACTCTTGATCAGAAAATAATTTTAGAAGTTGCTTATTTTCTTCCATTGTGTTTGTATTGGAAAAGAATTGAGGTGGGCAACTTCTGCTCCCCTCCCCCATCCTCCCCAGACCTGCTTGTGGGAAGTTTTTCTCCTGGCATACAAAATCCACCATAAACAAACATCACTATTTGCTGAATATCTCAGGTATTGTATAAAAGAAATACCCAGCTATTTAAGTAAAGGCATTCCTTTCTACAATAGAAGAGCCCTGAGATTTATTTTTTGAGGCATTTAAAGTAATAGAAATTCAGATGCTGATAGTTTCTTCTTATGCTCTGGATTTTCAAGTGCTTTAGAGATATGGTAATGAGTTCTTTCTATTTTTCATAATTTTTCAGCAAAGAAAATGATCTGTGTCCCTCCTTATATCAGATGAATAGGCTGAGGGGCACAGATGAGGTTAAGCCTAGTCGCTCACCTCATGATGGAGCAGCCAGTGTGTGTCTGCAGGGTCTCTTGGTCCCTGGATGCCTAACTCACAACACCTGGCACAGTGGCTTGCACATAGTAGGCAATCAGTAAAAACCTTTCTCCTTTTTTTTCTCCCCTCCCCATTTTCTCTCTCAGTGAATGGAGGCTGGTCTTCCTGGACAGAGTGGTCAGCCTGCAATGTTCGCTGTGGTAGAGGATGGCAGAAACGTTCCCGGACCTGTACCAACCCAGCTCCTCTCAATGGTGGGGCCTTTTGTGAGGGAATGTCAGTGCAGAAAATTACCTGCACTTCTCTTTGTCCTGGTGAGATATACACAGACTCCTCCCTTTCCCCTTTTGATCCACCAACACTAGTAAGCTGGTGTGAAGCATTCAACATATCACCCTCTTTCTCAAAGTGACCCTCTCCCAAGTTCTTATAGAGCCTTTGTCCAAAGTGCTGATGTAGAACTCAATGTAATAGCAAGAACATGGGTGAAATACCTCTGTTTGGGGGCATATGTAGTTTTTAATACTCAAATGACCCTGAAAACTCACCATCAATAAGCCAAATGCTTTGAAGTATTTTTATACGTCCCGTGTTTGATACCTCCCGTGTTTGATTGGACTAAGCCATGCCCTTCTCTCCCTGGGTTCTCCCATTCTGTGGCATTAATTTTTATAATAGCTAGCAGAAATTAAGTTGTCTGTGAACACAAAACAGGTACCAAAAATGTGACTCTTTATTATCAGTTGCCAATCCACCAAGCTTACCAGTTTTAGCTCTGTATTTATCTACAATACAATTGGCAGAGATTGTACAGCATCACAGCAGTTTATTCTATATTTGATCTATGCTTGCCTTCCTTTCTGAATAGAGATAGACTACACTTGCCAAATATGGCTTTTATAAGTTATTTTGTTCATCTCTTACTGGCTCCAACCCAATTTATACAATGAGAAATAGATGAGATGGAAGATGACTTTCTTTATGGAAAACATATCCTCCCACTGAGAAATAAATTGATCCTGGGTCTCATATGCATTATGAAACATTAACTCCAAGGACACTGGACTAGAGCCTCTTGACTAAAATTTCAAATCTAGTTCCACTCAAAGCTAAGGTGAGGCTCTCACCAGCAGTGTATTCTTGGAGTTTCATTTTGCATTTATTGAGTGCTTACTATGTGCAAGATACTTTTACACACGTAATCTCATTGAACTCTGCGTTGTGAGTTTTATTATCCCCAGTTGACAGAAATAGGCTAAGTGACTTTCTCAGGGTTGCTCAGCAAATAAACTGGCAGTCAAGGACTCAGACATTCTGTTTCACGTTCAGTATTTTGTGTTACCCTATTCCTAATTGCTCTTGATTAAAAACTGCAAATTCATAACCCACATAAACATGGTTGGAGTATTCCTAGGAGGTAATGGGACAATTGCCTCAAACAGCTGCCATGATCTCGAGGGTTGATTTTTAGTAGAATTCAGTTTGTTCAGTTCTACATACAGCAGCAATTTATGACCCAAGAAATTCTATTTATATAAATCTTGGTATCTTGGGGTTTGACTGACCTGTTTTAGTTTAATACTATCAATATGGGTTTATTGTTTAGGGGGTTTTAGGGCTTAAAGATAGTTCATTCTGCTCTCTGTTCTAAACTGTCAACACCCAAGGCAGTGGTGACTACCACTGGTTACTGCACACTGTTTATCTGTCCATCTAAGCTGCACTTGAGCGTGAAAGACTGGGGAAGAATGGATAATGACATTGTTAGCCAACCCAAGGGCACTGGTAATGCGAATGCTCTGCTCGCCTAAATTCAGTAATTGGTCTCATCCTGAAAGAGCTAGAGAATTACACCACTGCTTTTGCTAGTCTATCTCTTTAGGAAAGAAACCATGGAGAGAAGATAAAGGAATATGTTATTTTGTTTTTTGTTGTGGTGGTTATTGCTTTAAAATGCAGCTCTAAGAACAGTAATCCTGGGGTGAGTCTCCTGACCGCTGCCTGATTCATTCTAATGATGGTTCCTTTGGTTTCTCTTTGAAGTGGACGGGAGCTGGGAAGTGTGGAGCGAATGGTCAGTCTGCAGCCCAGAGTGTGAGCATCTTCGGATCCGGGAGTGCACAGCACCACCCCCAAGGAATGGGGGCAAATTCTGTGAAGGGCTGAGCCAGGAATCTGAAAACTGCACAGATGGTCTCTGCATTCTAGGTAACACCTTCTGTTTAGCATCTTCGGTGTTTGTCCATCATATGAAAAGAAACGTCATAATTATTGTGTTAAATATGTTAGCAGAAAGCAAAATCTCCAAGAGCAAAAAGAAAATGGGTGAAAAGTGTAGAAAAGAAGACATACATTTTTAGTAAAGCTGGGGGGACTTTGAATATTTTATCATTGTAAGTTTTATAAATGTGTATACTTACTATTGATTTAACTAGACAAGGTTTTAGAAGAAATGATGTAAGAAGACATTTTAGACTTTTTAGCTTAGCAATTCTTTCCTTTTAGTAGCCTTCATCTTAAGTTTGGTGAAATTCTGATCACTATGTCTATATTTCTCCCAAGAATTATATAGCACTATAAAGCACTTAATCATCTTCAGAGACCATGGTTTTGTGGCAAGAGATGTGTTGTGACTGTTATCTTACAAGTGGGGGCTGGGATTTATGACACCTGAGGAGGTGGGTGGCTTTGTATCAAATTGGTCTGGCAGAGCAAGAAATGGAGTGTGCATTTCAAAACTCCTGAGTCTTTATTACTGAGATTACAGATTACATTCTTGCATCTCCCAGTGACTCTGCCTGAGTATGGGAGGATCAAATAGTCACAGAGAGACAGGTTTTCATCTGGCACTGTCCCTCACTACCTTTGTGACCCTGGATAAGTTGCTTATGTCTCTGACTCTAAGTACCCCCAATGGTACCCAGTTTTGGTTATTGTGAAGACTAACTGACAAAAGAATACACTTGATATTTCATGGCACAGAGTAGGTGCTCAGTAAAGATGAACCCATTCTCCATCTGCCCACTCATTGAGCTAAGGTGTACTGATTTTGCTTAGGTCCTTAAGGAACAAGAGATTCAGGGCATTGAACTAGGAAAATACACAGCAAAAAATAACATAGCTCAATACCAGTGTGTCACTTTTTATTTGGGAAGATGGCAGGATGAAGAAAATATCTATTCAGGAACAAGAGATTCAGGGCATTGAACTAGGAAAATACGCAGCAAAAAATAACATATCTCAATACCAGTGTGTCATTTTTTATTTGGGAAGATGGCAGGATGAAGAAAATATATAAGTTGGGTTTATTTTTCTAAATCAATACAACTGGGTACCCTTGAAAGCAAGCATATTCAAACATAACTTATATTTTTTAAAAAAGAAGTCTATATGTTTAATACATTGGTTAAAATGATTAATATGTTTTTAAATGAGCAACGATGGTATTTTTTTTTGGTGGTTTTTTTGTTTGTTTGTTTGTTTGCTATTACAAGTATCGAGTACCTGCATATGTCAGATACAATACACGGAACTGTAATAGAATGCAACCTAGCCCCCAGTCTCAGTGATGAAAGGGCCCTGCACTCTAATGAATATATTCCAATCATTTGTCTTCCTCAAAATGCCTTTGCCCTTCCAAAATGTAAGGAAAGCTAACACAAACTCAGTAGCAAGAGGTTTAAGGAAATATGTTTCTGTCTACTCTTGACTGTTACCAGATTTTTCTGAAATATACCTTGGAAGTATGACAATTTTTTTAAACATGTAGCCATATTTGAATTGATGCACTCTAATGAATATATTCCAATCATTTGTCTTCCTCAAAATGCCTTTGCCCTTCCAAAATGTAAGGAAAGCTAACACAAACTCAGTAGCAAGAGGTTTAAGGAAATATGTTTCTGTCTACTCTTGACTGTTACCAGATTTTTCTGAAATATACCTTGGAAGTATGACTATTTTTTTAAACATGTAGCCATATTTGAATTGATAGTTAGAACAATTAGAACTGTGACACTCATAAGTCTTCTAAAGAGGTGTTGATAATATAACTATTTGGTTATCAACTGAATTTTAGATAATCATAGTCATAACTTTCCCATCAACCACCAGTGAGGTCTGCACTGGAGGATATCAGGCCTAAACCTTACTTGACTAATACTTAGTCCAGTTACCATTGAAGATGGATGATGGTTAGCCCTTCAGGTAAGAAAGAATTGTTATCAAGTTCAGTGATTAAGAGTTGTTTAGCCCTGAAATGAATTACCAGCACTGAGAGGGTATTGGACAGTCTAGATCAGTGATGGCGAACCTATGACACGCGTGTCAGAGGTGACATGCGAACTCATTTTTTTTGGTTGATTTTTCTTTGTTAAATGGCATTTAAATATATAAAATAAATATCAAAAATATAAGTCTTTGTTTTACTATGGTTGTAAATATAAAAAAAATTCTATATGTGACACAGCACCAGAGTTAAGTTAGGGTTTTTCAAAATGCTGACATGCTGAGCTCAAAAGGTTCGCCATCACTGGTCTAGATCCCAACTCTAAAATTTGAGATGTCGTGTTTGTCAGGGTTTTCCAGATAGAACCAATGAGATATACAGATAGATAGATAAATGAGATTTATTATAAGGAATAAGCTCAAGTAATTATGGAATTTGGCAAGTCCCAGATCTGCTGAGCCAATGTCCCAGTTCACAGACTGGCAGGCAGAATTCTCACTTGAGAAGGATCAAGCTTTAGATAGACTGGGTGAGGCCCTGGGAAGCAATTATAGAGAGCAATCTGCTTTTCTTAGTCTGTGGATCTAAATGTTGGTTTCATCTGAAAAGACCCAGGTAATGTTCAGCCAATTACCTGGGCACCTGATGGCCAGTCAAGCTGACACATAAAACTAACCATCACAGATGCATATGTACTTGTGAAGTTCCAAAGTTTAGTTCCTTCCTTTGAGCCAGAAATGGCCATAGTTCAGACAGTGGCTTTTCCTGTGGGCATTGACCATATATGGTTTTAGTCATGTGTGTGGTTTAATGGGTATTTCATTCCCATTACCCATAGTGGAAATAATATAACTAGGAAGACAATGAGGTTTGAAATATGTTCAGCATTGAAGGTGTGAGTATAGAATGCTATGTGAGCCTTTTCTTTCTATTCAGTTTACTCATGCCTGCATTCCCTTTTCTGCTTAAGCATGTTTTCTCTAGCATCTTTTGTCTGTAGTGTGCATATTTGTAACTCTGTCAGATGTGATCAAGAATACTGATGGCTACAAGGAGTTATAAATTGATTAAATATATTTATGTATCATTGAGAAAGGGGTATGTTTGTGAATCCAACACCAGGATATATTCTGTCCTTTCAGACAGAGTGGCTACCACTATCAACAAAAATGGATAACAGATTACTATCTCTGCAGGAAGCAATGAACAGCATTCTAGTTAAAAGATGCCAATACCCCTGTGCACATCTTGCTGGCACTCTGCTCCAATGGTCTTGGTGAAACTAGCTGTGCTCTCAGGATAGAGATTCAGTGAAGGCTGGGTTTGATTAAAATAGCATTTGCCAACAACTTTATGGAGCAGTAGTTTTGTGAAGGATCTAGGTCATGTTACAATTTGGGAATTTTCTTCATCCTCATCCTATATGTTTTCATCTATGCCAAAAAGACCCTAAAGCAGTTCCTCAACTTCTCTTAGAAGACCTATAATTCTTTGATTTTTATTTAGCTTTCAACAAAGCATCTGGGTTGCCTTTGTGGTCCCTGAGGGTAGTGTTTCTCCAAGAGATGGACCTGCCAGCTCTGAATGATCACTTTAATATTTGGGTGTGATTGTTGCTTGGCCAGTTGTGACTGGAGCACAAAAACTTTAGTGTGAATCTGTCACAGACGGCCACACCTCGGTGCTCTCATCAAGAAATTACATGCCCCGCCCTAGCTGGTTTGGCTCAGCGGACAGAGCGTCAGCCTGTGGACTGGAGCGTGGAGGGTCCTGGGTTTGAGTCCAGTCAAGGGCACATGTCTGCGTTGTGAGCTTGATCCCCAGTGGGAGGTGGGTGGGAGGCAGCCGATCTATGATTCTCTCTCATCATTGATGTTTCTATATCTCCCTCTCCCTTCCTCTCTGCTTAATCAATTGTTTAATCAATAAAAATATATTTAGAAAAAAGAAATTACATGCCCCAAGATTGGTGATGGTAAGATTATTTGCCAATAGCAGTTGGTGAAAGATCCAAATTGAAAGCATAAGCTAATCCTCTGATGCCTTTCTTTCCAGAAAGATAATTATGTGACATATTGTTGAGAAATAAGAACTTGTGTGGATCCCTGTTTTCTAACCTTAAACACTAGAGTCAGGTAGTTTTTTGACCATGTTCTTTCTGCTTGATGAATTTAGCTTCATCTATGCTCTGAGGAGTACAACCGGAGGTAAATGACATATGCATGCTTCACTGACAGGAACAGAAGGGTGAAAATGGCAGGGTATTTAGCTTGATCCTAAGAAATAAGAAAAGCCTGCTCCCTCTTTCTTTACTCCAGCAGATAGAAAACTAAAAGGGCTTTGACTTGAGAAGATTAAATAGACCTGCTTCAGAAGGGATTAGTGCCTTGAGGTATAGTAAGACTGAAGCCAGAGAAATGCCACAGGGGCCTGAAAGAGAGAGGAAATCTTCAAGGCTGAGTTACCTGATAGTTAATCCATCCTTCTGGTCAGGATGTAAGATAGGTCAGTTCAACATTGATAGCTCAGAAATGGAAATATCAGTTAAACTGTGGTTTGTTTTCATTTCTGATGGATACATTGATAAGAAAAGTTTGAATTGACAGTTTGGAAACCACATCAAGGACAAAGACAATAGCAGGTTCGATTAAACAACCCCAAGCTTACATTTAATAATCTAACAACATTATCTATTGAATGATCTACTTAAATGACCTAAAAGAAGCACCTGGAAAGGTGAGCCTGTAATTACATCAAAATAAAGGTCATCTTGGTAAGCATTTTCTCTTAGGCTATTCTCAATGTCATTGTCATCTTTACAGTAATTACCCAAGTCCCTTCTCTATCTTTCCTAGGACACCATTCAGTGCATCTGAAACAAGTTTTACATTTTGTTAATGGTTTATGGAATGCCTATTTTGTATATAGGATTATAATGGATAGGTGTCCTTTTACCTTAACAAAACCCATCATTTCCTTTCTT